GGATTTTTTGGTCACAATCGTCTTTCGCTTCGCTTTGTTTCGTTTTACCTTGCTCGTTCGACTCGTTTAAATTTCGCTATAATTAGCCATGAACGTAAAGAATTACCGGGATCTTGACCATCGATTCGATTCGATTATGATGCAAATCATTCGCATAACTAGGGCGGAACAAAATTTACTCCGGCCTGAACCTGTGATATTGATCATCGTCGAACAAGGAATATACGTGGGGAAAAATCTCTTATTCGGTACCAGGCACACGGTAATAAACCTTTCCACCGTTTTAATCTTAACGAAAGATTGACTAGCCGGCGAGCTTTCAAAGAAACTGCCGCAAAGTGAACTCTAAAACCAAACGATCTGCAAAGTTTGCGGCGATCCGTGGGAAGCGAATGAAAATATAGCTGTGCAAAGTCAGTAATATTACTTCCCGTACCATTATATACTTTTCCAAATTTCGCGACTTCGTGGCACCCGATCCTTATTAGTTTCCGCTCTATTTTTAATCTTCTCTTTCCAACAGTGTCGATGAAAATTCACTAACTGGTCTATTCCATGAGTTAAACAATCTGTAAAAGGTCCAGGAACCACGCTAATGATTCCATAGGCAGCTCGTTGGCCGCTTGTTAAAATGAGTAAGAAGAAGACCTTGTTCAATTCACAAACACTTTGGATACAAAAAGCAGTTTGAATAAATATGAAAATAAAATACACACATACATACCGAGTTTCACGAGTCTCTTTGAAGAGTATACGCAATGTCGACCAACTAGATACGCTGAACAGTGGTTTGGTAATTTATGCAGTCTGGTTTTGATGTAAAAAAACCAGACTTTCCTGCCGTGACCGTGATGAGTAACGCAATTCTAATAAATATTAAACGTTTCGAACCCGGTTATGAATTTTAGGTAAGTCATAAAAACGTGGACATAAGCCGTCACTACGTATAGTCACTAATCTTACCAGCTTTTTCCAAATCAAGCAACATTTTAGTTAACTTTCTTTGAGTTCTAAACAAAATTTCAAGTCCAAATTTCCGTTCTTTTATTCAACTCTTTCTCTAAGTAAGCTTACACTGTCGAAGACGACGCATCATTGTAAGATAATTCCCTTTCTTGGAAACTAAAGACAATTCTGAGAGAAAACTGAGCGATTCATTTTGTATCACAACGCTTCCTTACATTTTGTTAGTGTCGTCATTTCGTTGACTTTATCACAGATTAAAATTGTTATTCTCTTGTTGACGCTTGCGCAGCAAAAGATTCTCCACCATCATGTTAAACAAACTTTCATCTGTAAAACCTGAATTCTTGGCAAATATATTGACAACGCTCTGTGGACCAAAGGAACAGAATAAATTGCATTCTAGGAGGAATGGATTTCCTTCAACGTCTACTCGGAAGTCGAATAAACCAAAATCGTGTAAACCCAACTCTCGAAAAGCTCGGCAACTTTGTTGTTGAATACGATGAATC